AACAAAAGGAAAGTGTACGGAGTATTTTAGAGGTGTACTTAATCGATCGCAAATGTCGTTTTGTGGATATATCTGTTTATCTCGACGTATTTTGCAGGAATTTTTAGCATGCGTTTTCTCGCTTCTGACGTCATTAAAAAGAGATGGATAATGCGACTCCCCAGGAGCCTTAAATATATACTAAATGATAACTATAAGATGCATAAATGAACTAGCTATTAATCAACTGTAAATTGTTATTTAATTGATATCATATTAATGGAGACGAATTATTGACATTGACTTGTTATCTTATAGATACGTTCCAAAAGTTAACTTAAAAACGTTAACCAATAGGCAACCTATTCTAATTGGGTTACGACGTCGTCGGGTCACTGTATCGATCGAGACGATAAACGTCGAAAGAGCAAATAACCATCGCGTATCGAATCTCCATGGCCATCGAAATTAATTCCCTGCCAAGGACTTTAGCCGCTAACGTTGATATTTATGTGGCAAGTTCGGGTGACGGAAGTGGCCGGAGAAAATCGATAAATTACGCGCCACTGAAAAATCAACTGAGAAATCGGTTTCCGCGCGCGATGCGATTGCGGAGGCGTCTTCCGTCTGTGCGACATTCCCCCTCCTTTTACGTTTCCTGATATTTTCACGGCAGGCTAGCAGCAACGCGGAACGTCCTGGTGGTACCTACAGTGCTCAACAGATGGCGAACCGAGTCGAGTGCCTTCTTCTCGTGAGAAGAATTCGATTTAACACGTATAAATATGCGGCCGGCGGACTCCACCACTCGTGCCTTAAACTAATGAGTAAGGAAAATATAGAGCTTTGGTAACGCTTAGCTATGCTCTAAGTAAAGCGAACCAATTTTTGAAGAGGTACAGGTCGTCCCACGGCTGTGCGAACTACTTTTTCGTGTGGCCAGGTGAAGCGATTTGCCTCTGCGATTCACGTAAAAGATAAGGATGTAAAAAAATATTTCTGACACGCGAGATGCTATTTGTATTAATCCCAAATATCTCGAGGATTTTTAACATTATTCATTAAACGTGATTCAACGATTTAACAAGCCGGCTATTTCGTGTGCACACATCATCTCGGTAGGAATTTAATCGTTGCAGCATCCCGCGAGACTATTTCCAATAAATGTTTGGCCGATAAGCCGCGCGCGAAGCCTTCGATACGCGATTAGTCATTCGCTCGTTGTATTAACACACAATCGACGGCTGTTTTTTAATCGCTCAACCGGTCTGCCGATCGAAAGATGCAGTGTCGACGACTGATTTACCGCGATCTTTCCCCGCTAGACCCGCGCATCTATTTCGGTCGCGTGACATAAGTCTTTCGTAATACGATAATTTCCGCGCGTCGAATTCTGTACACGCGCACGTACATACTTCGGCGGCGATGATTCACGCACAACCGGACGTGTCCCGCTAATGTTAACAAAACATCCTCGCGAGCACATAGTCACTCAGCTTCATAGAATCCCGCGTGGAAAGTGTTCGCCCGGTAATTTTCGCGAACGTGCCGATCACGAACGCGCGTCACGAATAATAAACAAACGATGAGGGCGCGCGAAAAATCTCCGCTCGCTCCGATGAAAAAACATTCCTGAAACGAATTAAATAAACAACCCTCCCTCCCTCCCTCTCTCACTCCCTCCCTCTCTCACTCTCTCTCTCTCTCTCTCTCTCTCTCTCTCTCTCTCTCTC